AGAGAGGTAGGCTGCGCGAGAACGCCATTTGCTTTCAGTTTCGCATTGAATTAGCCAGCCTAATTCGTTTTGGCTTGTTTAGCAATTTATATTTTTCATTCTTGTTTTCTTCTGAAACCGTTCTAGGCTAGGTATTGTGTTTATTGTTTGTATATTATAACATTTCGGTTTTTTTACCAGTGTTATTTTATGAATGTAATAATGCGGTTTGTGCTTATCTGTGTTTAATCTAAACTAGGCTACAACGTAACATTAATGTAGACTTATACCGGATTGTAATGTAACTAATTACTTTCAAAAGACAGTAACTAGTAATATATAATGTATTACATTTTGGAAGTAACTTGCCCAACACTGGTTGTGAGGAATGATAATTTCACAATTAGACAATTAGCACTTTCCTGACAGTCCATTTACTGCAGGGTTGATATGCACTGCCATTGATGCAGATTGCAAGCTCTGCATGTGGATTACTCATGTATTAGCGTGGATAGCACAGATATATAAAACATTGACATTTCAAATTGAGATACGGGTGTAAAAAGAGGTAAACACAGCTGGTTTTTGTTTATCGAATGCTGCATTCATTTGGAAGCACTTCAAAATATTTGCACCCCATGTGTGAGGTTTTATGTGAGATATTGGTTCGATTTTGACATTACTCCTGAAATCGCTTTTTCTACAACAGACGATATCCTCTTGAGAGGCTTTATATAAGAAACAATAGATTTAATAAATCCCGCTATAAATCCACCACAACCAACCAGCAGCTTGAGATGAGCTCGAGTCCAGGTCAGAAAGGCTCAGATCTGCGATGGGACTCTACGGTCTGAAACTGATGAGCCAGCTAATAAAACCTATGCTCTACTGACAAAATGTTCCTCTGTTCCCCGAGCACAGCCCCAGACCCCCCCCCCAGAGCCCGGAGGTCCTGACTGTTGGCTCTACGGTCTGAAACTGATGAGCCAGCTAATAAAACCTATGCTCTACTGACAAAATGTTCCTCTGTTCCCCGAGCAACAGCCCCAGCCCCCCCCCCAGAGCCCGGAGGTCCTGACTGTTGGCTCACCGATGTCTGCCATCTCAGGCACGGAGGCTGAAAAGGGGCCATCTGGGAATTTAGGGGCGTTGTCGTTCACATCCTGGACCTTGATGATGAATTCGGACTCGGGTTCCACAGCTCTGTTGGTGAAGCGGTCGACAGCCCGAGCGTGGAGGACATAATGGCTCTTCTTTTCTCTGTCCAGGCTTTTCTTTGCATGAAAAACTTCGGTAGATTTCTTTTCACTTATACTTTTCATTATGATTGATTATATTAAAATTTCCAATAAAAAATAATAAAATTGCAAAATAGAAACATTTTCCCTAGTGCTCTCAGACTTGTGGTCCCTAATTATAAATACAGTAAATTCATAGCATAGTTTTAAATGTCAGGCTTTGCATTTGTAAATCATCTAACTATAAGAAAACAAGAAATTAAATGACATAGACCTAGATCTAGAAATAAATGATCAAAGTCAGAAGACAAAGACATGAAAAAACTCCTGTCACAACCTTTATGGTGGATAAATGACATTTTTTAAAGTTCAAGCTTTAACATCTTTTTTTATGACAAATCTATCACAATAATGACTGTGTGGAATGTCCCAGCTCCTGTCAAAGAATGCTCTTGATTTGTAATTAGCATGCTCTTTAAATAGAACTCACATTACATGTACCAAACGAGCACAAGGATACCCCATGTGCTCGGAGGAAATACTTTTTTAGAGGAAATGACTGTCGTTCACCCACAATTTCCACGTACTAAAAGAGGTCTAAATGTATGCCCGTGATATTACTCCTTTTTTTCTCCATTGGAATATAAATCTCTCTTTCATGACAAATTTTTAAACTCATGGGTAAAAAGAGCATGGTAGACAGTGAAATTATACACTACACTACGACATTATGAGGCTAAAGCCTGTGGCTCCCAACCAGAACCAAATTGAGTTTCATGTGAAATACACATGCATCACAGGGGTGAAAGGATACCTCCTAATAAACATGGCTTAATCCCAGCACATTCATATTAGTTATGCAATAAAAGATTCTGTAACAGAATATTGCTTTTACTGCCTCAAGGTAAGAATTTTCTGTGATGCCGAATATAAATATCCAAACAAGTATTTAGAATTTGCATAAGGAAATATGCAGTCTACAGCTATTATGCTGATCCTTCAAAGACCTCATTTTACTTATTTATTTATTTACGCACTAGCAAAATAAGTTACAGCCCTTGGTCTGTTGACTTTTCCATATGTCTGACTTCTTATTCTATCTTCACTTGCCAATAATCCTAAACGCGGGTACAATGTTATAAAATTGTTCACACCAATAAAATCATGTGGTGCAAACATGCAGGAAAAAAACGATCATAGAGAGGACCCCTGCACCTTTTTTATGACAAAGCAAGGTTATACCAGATTTTAAAATGTCATGTGGAGCACCTCCCCCAAAACTATTCACACATAAACCAAGATGGCTGTAAAGATGCTACAAGACCTTCACAACTAAATGCACTCTTTACTGTCTAGTCCTGGTCGTATTGTGAATTGGTGCATGTTGTTTAGAAAAAAAGCTTGCTTTTGTAATCAGAAACAACTTTAAAAATTTTTATTTATTTACTCATTCATTTTTTAAATAATGATTGTGTACACTATACATTTATTCAAAATGTAATAATGGAAATACAGTATGTGACGTGTAAGTAGCATGGGTATATTTGTAACAATAGCCAACAATATATTGTATGGGTCAAAATTATCAATTTTTCTTTTATGCCAAAAATCATTAGTATATTAAATAAAGATCATGTGCCCGTGATATTACTCCTTTTTTTCTCCATTGGAATATAAATCTCTCTTTCATGACAAATTTTTAAACTCATGGGTAAAAAGAGCATGGTAGACAGTGAAATTATACACTACACTACGACATTATGAGGCTAAAGCCTGTGGCTCCCAACCAGAACCAAATTGAGTTTCATGTGAAATACACATGCATCACAGGGGTGAAAGGATACCTCCTAATAAACATGGCTTAATCCCAGCACATTCATATTAGTTATGCAATAAAAGATTCTGTAACAGAATATTGCTTTTACTGCCTCAAGGTAAGAATTTTCTGTGATGCCGAATATAAATATCCAAACAAGTATTTAGAATTTGCATAAGGAAATATGCAGTCTACAGCTATTATGCTGATCCTTCAAAGACCTCATTTTACTTATTTATTTATTTACGCACTAGCAAAATAAGTTACAGCCCTTGGTCTGTTGACTTTTCCATATGTCTGACTTCTTATTCTATCTTCACTTGCCAATAATCCTAAACGCGGGTACAATGTTATAAAATTGTTCACACCAATAAAATCATGTGGTGCAAACATGCAGGAAAAAAACGATCATAGAGAGGACCCCTGCACCTTTTTTATGACAAAGCAAGGTTATACCAGATTTTAAAATGTCATGTGGAGCACCTCCCCCAAAACTATTCACACATAAACCAAGATGGCTGTAAAGATGCTACAAGACCTTCACAACTAAATGCACTCTTTACTGTCTAGTCCTGGTCGTATTGTGAATTGGTGCATGTTGTTTAGAAAAAAAGCTTGCTTTTGTAATCAGAAACAACTTTAAAAATTTTTATTTATTTACTCATTCATTTTTTAAATAATGATTGTGTACACTATACATTTATTCAAAATGTAATAATGGAAATACAGTATGTGACGTGTAAGTAGCATGGGTATATTTGTAACAATAGCCAACAATATATTGTATGGGTCAAAATTATCAATTTTTCTTTTATGCCAAAAATCATTAGTATATTAAATAAAGATCATGTTCCATGAAGATATTTTGTAAATTTCCTACCGTAAATATATCAACGCTTAATTTTTTGATTAGCAATATGCATTGCTAAGAACTTCATTTCAACAAATTTGAAGTCGATTTACTCAATATTTTGATTTTTTTAGCACCCTCAGAGATTTTCAAATATCTCAGCCAAATTTTGTCCAAATAATGATTACTTTTTACTCATTGGTTAAATCACATGCCATTTTAGAGACATTAAAAACCAAGAGAAATTTGAAACCCCAAAAAATGTAAATTATATAAAAACATTTTCAAAACCTGTCTAAGAACATGTTCAAACAAGATTTTTCCTTTTCTTTAGCATGGACACTCTTGTATGTAATTGACCCATATGTTTACAGAGATGCATCATGAAGGATAGCTTCCGTTCATGTCAGCTTTCAGTGTGTGAAATCTGCTGACACGTACTTCATTAGTAACACATATGCTATGCTCATGTAATTACAGCGACACAAACCACAGAACAATATGCATACAAAACAGCAGAAAGCTTCAACTAGGGATGTACAGAAAGCTGGATGTGACCATCACCTGAAACTGAGAAGCACAGCTATTTTCAGGCCACTTATCCAACAATAAATGCTACCATTTCAGTTGCTAATGATCACTAATGTGGCCTTGAAAAAAATGGCAATGAGTCTGATCCCAAAAAAAAAAAGCATCTGGAATTGGCAGTGCACAGCCCTTGGTGTGGGGAAAAAAAAAAAAAAACATTACTTGGCATGTTGCTGGGTTGCTATTCAAGCAGCTTTCTTTTTTCCCACTGTGTTCCCATAATTCTTGGCAGCCTGTGTAATCCCACCGCAGTGAGCAATTAGTCAGAATGACGTTCACCTTCCAAACCTTTTCCCCCTGGCTAAGAGGGACATTCACCTTCACAGATATATATGGCAGGTGGGCCTGAAACAACACTATTTCTGGGGCCATTGCATTACCCACAAAACTTTGAGTATAAGCCTGTTACAGCTGCAATGCAGCAGGGCACATACAGTATTAAACCATACCAAAAATACACTCTTATCCACACAGCTAAGCCAGAGACCCAAACCAGTGCCACTGTTTAAGGATGCTCATATCCGCCTCTTTCATCCTGCTGTGTATCCTCAGGTTCACCTGCTGCATCCAGCAGTATGAAAGATTGAAGAATCCTCCTACATTGTACTTCAAAAAAGAGTGACCCTTTTTTTTAAAGCTTGCCTCAGATATTTATGGAAGCACCATTGAATACATCAGGTTTCCCTAAGAGATGGATAGAGTATTTGAATCATGCGTTTATCTATTACTAAAGAACTCCTTAAACCGAGGATAAATGAAGTAAATATTTTTTAGGAAATGCCCTAATGTTGATCATTGATTCGTTTATTTTTCCCATAGTTATTCACACATAAAACGAGATGATTGTGAAGATCTTACAATACCTTCACAACTAAACCGGCTCTATTTACTATTTGCTTAGTCCTAGTCTTATTGTTAATGATTAGTTCATGTTACTCCTAGAACACTGCATAAAACATCACTCTTCCAAACAGACAAGTTGTCAGTGTAACAAAGTTAGTAGGTCCTTATCCTTCCGGAGCTCCTCCGTAGGACTCGAGACCGGTGAGTGGTGCAGGTGTCACTCATTATCAATTACTCCACAGGCCTCGCTCCGTTCCCACGGCTCTCGGCCCCGCCCCCACTCGTCACAGTTTATTATTATTATTATTATAAATGGTTTGAAAACAAAATTAATGTTATTATTAAAAAGAAGAGGAAAAATATATTATTACAATCTTAAAGGTGAAGATATAGAAATTCATAAGAAGGATATGAAATGAAATGTTTAAAATAGGGCATTGTGGTAAAAAAAAAATCAACAAACATGTTTGGAATGCTCACTGGGATTAAAAAGGATTTTAAGATTCAACATCCTGTGTGAAAAAAGTCACATAAAACATCAAGAAAGGAGGGGAGCAGATGAGTGGGAGATAGAATGCATTGACTCGTCCAGCAGAAGGTGTGACGCTGTTCCCCTGCACAACATTACCACACAAATGAAAGGCTTTGAGAAACCTGCCAGACAGATATAGACTCAAATCTGAAAGCAGCCAGCCCAGAAAATAGAAATGCATCAAATGCGATTAATAGGATTATGAATGAAAGCAAACACTTGAGCACAATGGAAACTCATTAACCATTTGAAACAAACTGGGTGTGTTGCACATCTTGCATGCTAAGCAGTTTGATCCGGCTCGGAATACATTCTCCTATTAAATTATAATGGTGACCATTGAGTGTTTGCACACCTTGTCAAACACATACATACTCACACCCACACTTGTCTACGCTTCATTCAGAGCTCTAAGACATTTTATTATGGTGCAAAAGTGATGCATTTAGATCCAT